TTGACTCCTAAATTACGCCCTCTAGTGTCGTCATGATGTAATGCAGTTCCTTCATTCCACAGATTCTTATAAAGCTTAAAAATCTGCAGATTCCATCTGGAGCTAATCAACACGTACCATAAATTTGTGTTTGTGTCTTGCAGCAAGCCGCGTACCACCCAGAAGTGGGCAAGGATGTGAGGAATAAAGCTCTGCTCTACGGCATCGAGTGCACCACCGGATACATCGACTTGCTCGAACACGTCCTGCTCGTGAGTGGGCGCGCCGACAGCTTTTACAGGATGTGTTTGTGCTTGGGTTTCTGTGATTAACCTCATGTGTTTACGCCACACAGGTCCTGCAGAAACCCACGGCCGAACAGAAACAGCAGTTGGCCGTGCTGTCCAAGAAAGTGGCGGGCTCAGTCACAGAGCTCATCCAGACTGCTGAAGCCATGAAAGGTGAGCACACACAAATGGATATGCTACAGTGGGGTTGAAGGGCACGCAAGGAAAGTTCTGGGTTTTTTGGTCCCAAAGTATTAGTCTTTATTGAATATTGATGGATCAACACAATTAGTTTGGGGGAAAAAAAGGTTTAAAATTTTTGATTACAATTATTTATTAAATAAAAAGGCAAACACTTATAATAAAGGGGTAGCTCACCCAAAAATGAAAATTTGCAGAACATTTACTCAGCCTCAGGTCATCCAAGATGTAGATGTTTTTTTGTTTTTTGTTTTTTGGAGAAATGTAGAAATTTGGAGAAATGTAACATTACGAAACTTGTTCACCAGAGGATCCTCTGCAGTGAATGGGTGCCGTCAGAATGAGAGTCCAAACAGCTGATTAAAACATCACAGTAATCATCACAAGTAATCATCTTGTGAAGCGAAAAGCTGCATGTTTGTAATAAATCCATCAAGATGTTTTTGCTTCCAGCAAAATATGAGTCCTCTATCCTTTATATTGTGGAAAAAGTCGTCTCGTCTGAATCAGGAGAGAAATATGCACAGATCAAACACAATTTGCAAGTAAAAACTGACCAAAACCATTCTAAACAAATATCTTGATGGATTTTGATGTGAGAGGCGGATCGAGCCATCCAGCAATAGCGGATGGACTTTTTGACTGGGATGAATTATTAATCTAAATGTAATTTTATTTACACTATAATTATCCAAAAAAAATCAATATAGCCTTTTTTTTAATGTTTATTTAAATTTTCAAAATCCAATTATAATGAAAAAAATCTAACATTTTTAATTTAATTTTGCCAATGACGGGTTTTCATATTCTGCTGAACTTTTCACAAGCACAGATCTCTTGCGGGCCTGGTAATGGTATATGAGTTTGAGAGGTAATGGGGAAAATCGCAGGTCAATCGAGCTGAATTTGTGCAGGTTTAATAGAGCCATTGGGCTGATGGTGCTCTCTTGCTCTTTTCTATAACACTACTTTGTTGTTTTTTCCTTTTCTGCCACAGATGGAGGTGAGTATGATACACAGTGGTGTTTTTCTCCAATATCAGGCCACACACATACAGACGGACTTGAGTAACTGTGACCAGCATGGACAAACACAGTCATACAATGAGTTATAGTGTGAGAGAAAAGAGAAGCAGGGATAGAATTGAATTCCCTCAGGTATAACATAATCCTCAAACACATTCTCACCATCTGTTTTCACAAGCTGTTTGATCAAAACAGCCTCTTGAACGTCGGTAAAGGAGAATGTATTGCAATGCACATTTGCTTCATAAATGGCAATTAATGTAAAGATGTGCATGTTCATCTAAGCAATTAATGAATGATTGTGACTGTAATAACCTGCCAGTCAGAACTAAGAACAGTGTTTATCTTGAAGTTATAGTTATTAAAGGTTGTGGCATCCGTTCATTATCATACATTATACAAACTGCTGCCCTTACCAAAATTTCCCATGGTAACCATAGTTTTTTCTTAGTAAAATTAAATAAATTTAAAAGAGAACTTATATTTGGCAAATGTGGCTTTTTTTCCTACCTTGCATTTTTTATTTTTTCTTGTATATTTCCTTTAAAATATATGTACAGTTTATGTAGAGTATTAACATCTACATAGAAAGTTCTCATGGTCATTTTTGTAAGAGTCTTGTGGTGGAATGTGATTTTCTCTATACAGGAGGTTATTGGTTCGAATCCCCATCGCAAGCTTTTTTTTCTTTAATCTTTTACTTAAAGTTTATTTTGTCATGTCATACCATGTGTTTACTCTTTTCATGTGAATGTATTATATATCAGTAATGTAAGTGATTTGAAAATGAGGGTCATGTTGACTTTGTTTGCTCATCCTCTCAGGTTCAGAGTGGGTGGACCCAGAAGACCCCACGGTGATAGCGGAGACAGAGCTCCTGGGTGCTGCTGCGTCCATCGAGGCCGCAGCCAAGAAACTGGAGCAGCTGAAGCCCAGAACCAAACCAAAGGTATCCTTCCATCCATCCATCAATTTTCTGAATCCAAACACACACACACACACACACTGCTGTGATCAGCCCGCCAGCACAGCTATGTCAGATCAGTTCCACCAAAGGCTGCGGGATCGTTTCATTCCTGTTTTGTATGCGGGGAGAGGGAGGTGATGTTGTTTTTGTAATTTTAGGACTTCAAGACTTCAGGATGTGGTGTTTTTATCTATCTATCTATCTGTCTGTGTCTGTCTGTCTGTCTATATATCTATGTATCTGTCTGTCTGTCTGTCTGTCTATATATGTATCTGTCTGTCTGTCTGTCTGTCTATCTATCTATCTATCTGTCTGTCTGTCTGTCTGTCTTTCTGTCTATCCCTCCCTCTGCTCTTTAACTCTGTCTCACTATGTGTTGTGTTAGTCAGATCAGGTTCATATATTCTAGAAAGAAGGATGAACAGGAGGCTGTGTAATGTTGTCACCTTCAGTCCATTCCGA